AAACCTAAACCAGGGACAAACCCCAAGGGTAGAAAGGAAAACTCCTTAATAAACCAGTGACAAACCCCCAGGGTATAAAGTGTTCAGGGGTTTAGGGTTGTCGGTTCAGGGGATTAGGGTTTAAGGTTTACGTTTTAGGGACTCAGGGGTTTAGGAGATTAGGTTTAGGGGCTTTCCGGTTTTGGGGTTAGTCTCCCAAGGCCCAAACATCTATTTAAGAGAGGCCGTTTTATGTTATAGTTAGTAGTGTTATCAGCAATCCCTTCATACTACTTTCAAATACCCCCATCGCCCTAATAGTAAATGTGGGGAATATTGGGGGTTTGGCGAGGGATGTATGATATCAGTATGAAGGGGTTATTACACTTACGATTGTTACACTAACGTCTGCAGATAATGCCTACGTGGAGGTCTAAGGTCTAAAGATGATGTCTACTTTCTACGTATCTGGGTCCGTCCCTGCAGTAGCAGTTCTATGCAGTAGCGCAGACATCGGACACAGGCCTGTGAGGCCGCTAGAAGGCATGTCTTGCAGCAACATCTCCCCAGTTCTGGCCAGCTGCCTACTTTTGTTGTTTTTGCAATTTTGTGCGTCCAATGAACTTTCTCTGCAAGCCCGTGTAAAATCCCAATGTTCATTTTCCATGTTCTATTAACCCTAAACCCTAGAAACCCCAAATCCCAAACCTTAAAATCCTAAAACCCTAAACCCCAAACCCCAAACCTGAAAATCCTAAAGCCCTAGACCCCAAACCCTAAAATCCTAAAACCCTAAACCCCGAACCCCAAACCTTAAAGCCCTAGTCCGTTTGTCCATTGGCCCTAGGGGGGATGGATGAGATCTTCACCACTTCGGAACTTGTAGCAATAGGACTCCCAGGCTATAGAACCCTAAGCCCCTAACCGGCCTCAATCCCAAAACTCTATAAACCCCAAACCCCCAAACCCTAAACCTTGATCCCTAAACCTCAAACCCTAAACCCCAAACCCCAAACCCTAAACAACCTTAAACCCCAAACCCTAAACCCTAAATCCCTAAGTCACCGTAGTGCCAGAGGTCTGCTTCTTTTATCAGCCCAGAGCAGAGCATCATGATCTACCGGTAGCCTTAATCATGCAACTATTTATAAGGGTTGTATGATATAGGCATACTACGGGGATCTTTTACTGGGGTTATATATGAATAGTGGAGAATCAAGCGGGATGATGTAAGGATTTAGGTGCCGGTACCTTAATTGGCGCTATATGGCGCTACTAATAGAGTGTACTTACGCCCTGGTAGAAGGTACTAGGAGTGTCTGCATTGCCTTCTATCTCTGCTTGGTGTATATCTATATATATATATATGTATGTATATCATATATGAGCCAAAATCTAAACTCCTTAGATGGGGTTATACAAGGGATTATATGTCTTAAGGGGGATACCAGGAGTTTAGACTATGGCTCGTATAAGTATATAGATATATATATACATACCTACATACCCCCCCAAAAAAGTAGGATGCTGAGTGCCCAGGTAAGGTTTGACTTCCTTCTTCTGACTTGCGGAAGCAAATTCAGGCATTGAGCATCAAAAGGACCTCTCAATGCAACAGCCCGAATTCTCATTGCATACCTGGACCCTACGGAACCGCTTTTTTGCTATATTTCATGAGGACATACCACAAAATTAGGACATGAGTTTAGCATATTCTCCAATACAGTCCATAATATGGACCCTAAACCCTAAAACTTAAACCTGTATCTCACGTGTTCCCGGCGAGGTGGGTTCCTTACTTTGAGGGACCCGGGAGTTAGCCAATGTATTCATCCCCTCATAAGCCCATCAACACCTATCGTAAGCAGGTTACCGAACCCATTAGCAACTCGAGGGTCCCTCACATTAAGCCCTAAACCCTAAACTCCTAACCCTAAGCCCTATACATCCCTCTATGGTCCCCTTAAAGGAAGCAGAGACTGAAATGGTTTCAAGGCAGGACAGCAGCGGTGTTCGATTGACGTTTGCCCCTGCGCTGCGGACCTTCGATGCTGCTGTCTTCAGGACGCGGTGTAGGGTTTAGGGCTTAGGGTTTAGGGTTTAGGGTTTAGGACCCTCCTCGCCCCCTCGACCCTCTAAGAAGAAAGGAGGATGGCTCAACACCGTTCAAACCCATTAAGACCGTCAAGCGAACTGTTATTTCGCTTACATTTGGAATTTTGGTGTGGGCTACAAAAATACAATGTGTTAGGGTTTAGGGTTTAGGGAGTTCGCTGGCTACGCTTCCCATTTTGGAAAAGCTCCCAACCAAAACCCTCGATTTTTTCTGTTTGGGCTTCAGTTCCCATTTTGGGGGGCCCCTATAACCACGCGGTGTAAGGTTTAGGGTTTAGTTCCTGCCCTATATTCGTAACCCCAGTTTACATGTCAATTTGCATTTTATTTTCCAAGCTGCTTTTCTGGCAGTAAACCCTATATCCTAAAAATGTTGCTATGCTATTTATTACAGAAGGTACCAAGAGGGTCTTGACCGTTATCATGTCAACTGTTTGCTGCAGGTTTGAGTTTAGGGTTTAGGGTAGCTCTTGACTTGCAACTCGAGCCTCGTGGTTGCTGCATTTAAAAATGGGACTTCCCTTGAAGGTTATTTCAAGGTTAGACAGGAGTATTGGACAAGAAAATGCAAGCTACTACGCATGTTGCGTTTTAGGGCCAGTAGATTAGCACTGGAGCTACGCGGAGTTGAGACTTTGCATGGTGATGAGAGCTTCTTCTGGGTTGCTGTTAAGAGGCTTAAAATAAGTTACCACAATGGGTATGTAATAGTAGATATGATATCCTTTTTGTAGTAGCTTAACCTAAACCCTTCTAAACCCTAAACCTTCTAACCCTAAACCCGAAACCCAACTAATTAGAAGCCCCAAGGCCTTCACCCACTAATAATGGCATACGAGGAATATATAAGGACCCTAACATAATTGTCATTACCTCTTGTGGTCACTAATTATTAGTGGATTGGGGCCCAAACTAGTATATAATATTGCGACCACCTCCTTCTACAGCCCTAAAGCGCAAAACAAGATTTGGTGGGGTATTGTTATTGTAGAGTCTTTTAAAGTTTAGTAGAGTTTGGGGATCAGGGTTTAGGGTTTAGGTCTTTTTCATGAGTACGGACGCTAATATACTAGAATCCTTACATAGGGACAAACAAAAAGCTATTACAAATTTTGGGAACCCCCCGTGTAGAGCCGGTACTAGTGGGTACTTAGGCCTTAATAGATGGTAATTAGTTGGAGGGGGATTTCCGAGTTGGGTCTGCGGAAACCCAAACCCTATACCAAAAAAACCCATATGCATGGAAACCTCCACCTGCTGCGCACGCGGGCAGAGAGCTCGCAGGTTCAACGGTGGCACAGACTCCGGCATGCGAACCGATATCCCTCCAGGGCAGTCAAATTATGTTCTGCCCTTTGTCGTGCAGACGCGGGTTTAAAGGGACTTTACTGGGAACCCCAAACAGGGATTCCCAAGAATATAGCAGGAATATAATGGAATATGAGGACCCTGGTAGGTACATTCCTATGTGCCAACTATATTATTGGGGTTCCCGGTTTGGGGTTCCCGGTAAAGTCCCTTGAGGGTTGGGGCTTAGCTCAAGATTTTGAGTAACCAATGTACCCATAAACAAAGGCTTTGTATTTGGCATACTCGTTTCGTAATATACCTACCTAGCTTCGGAAGGCACAATGCGGCTGAAGGTTTTGTTGGTCTACCTCTAGCCCTCCATAACCCTAAGCCCCAAGCCCTATAAACCCTAAACCAACCCTTTAATCTAACCCCTAATCTCTACGCCTCAAACGGCCTAGGGTTGAGGGCGGGAAGCTCCCTCAAACCATTTTGAGGGTCATCTAGGATTTAGGGTCTAGGGTGTAGAATTGAGGGTTTTGGGTTTAGAGAAGCACAAGGTAAGTTAATTAACTACCAGCAGACAATGCCTTGACAAGCATACTGAAGGCGTGGTTTTTAGCAGCTTTTTGAGGTCGCTTCCGCCCGATGATAAAGGTTTTCATTGCAATGTAGGGTGTAGGGTTTCGGGTTTAGGGCTCATACAGGTTTAGGGTTCAGGGCTTATAGGGTTTAGAGTTCAGGGCTCATAGGGTTTAGGGTTCAGGGCTCATAGGGTTTAGGGGTCAGGGCTTATAGGGTACAGGGTTTAGCGTAGTTGGCCCCGCCTTCATGCCTGGCCACCACGGATCCTCCCCACATTCATGATCCTAATGGTAGCTAGAAAAGATACAATCGTGATGATGGTAATGAGAATAACCCTAGCCTTCCGAGGGGATGG